TAATTATAAGTCATAGAAATTAACACTATTGCAGCATGCATTTTTGTAATAGCTCAATTAAAATGAATTTGCTCTCCGTGTATTCCAGGGAAGGAGCACCTCGTCTGAGCAGAGAGACTCAGCTGCGAGTGGGCCGTGACACGGAGCTGTACCGCATCCTCAACATGCACTACAATAAAAGTAACATCTACCAGGTATGGACTGTGTGTGGACTTCAGCTACATATTTGTATTTATGCATATCGTCCTTGGATGGCTGCTTTAAGCCTCATAGTGCTGCAAGTACAGTGCATTTATTTCATGGAGTGGGAACCTTGATTTTTCTTTAATAGCAGAAGGTCAGAGCATTTTTTGTGAACACAGGATCACCCCAAGGTTATATGTGCTATGTCATCAATGCTTTATAATGTATATAATAATTTATCAATAGGATGTACAAGCTCTAACTGCTGTTTTAAATGAAATGACCTTCTAAGGCAGGCTTAATTGCATTTGAACATGTATGAAAATCACTGGTGGAGAAAGTACTCTAACATTTACCTGAGGATAAGTACAAATAAATAGACAAAATTGCACTCAAGTTAAAAGGAAATGCCCCACAGCTAACTTTTCTAGTACGTACTTGATTGTGTACTTAAAGTATTTAGCAACAGTCTACTTCATCATTACCAGTGCCGACTGTATATTCGGTTTAATACAAGAATAATACAGACTGTCATATTAATGAAGAGGCTGCAGATGATGCTACTGAAATCTGTGGATCAATTCCCCTCTTGTTATTGATTGCTTTTAAAAATATGAAGAACAACGTGAACATGTACCACAGTGCATTGAAGAAATGTAGTGTGGTAGAAAGTACAGATATTTGTGGTGGAGAAAAAGTACCTGAAAATAAATCTACTTAAGTAATCTACAGATGCATGAAGAATGTACTTAAATACAGTAACTAAGTAAATGTACTTTGTTACATCTCACCACTGGTGAAAATTAAGCTCTTGTTTAATGTATCCTGTCAATGTGAACTGAGTTTA